TTCTCTTGTGGAAGCCCCAGCTGTCCCTCAGTGTGCAGAGCAGAGGAGGGTGGAGGTCTGAGGGGGGCACTTTCTCTTCCCTCCGGATACTGCCTGGGGAATAACCATTGTGGCTCAGTCATGACCTGTAATCCCACCTGGCAGCTGGCGGCTTCTCCTGTCTCCCCCAGCCCAGCTCTCGCCCAGGACCTCAGAGCTCGCTGCAGGGGAGGCACCTGCCTGACGCCTCTGGCCCAGGGGCTGGGAGGCAGGGGGAGGATCTGGATTGGGATGGAGAGTTGGGCGGGATAGCCCTATTTGGGACCAGCTCTGGGTTCCCAGCTTGGGGGTAGCCTGGCCCCTGCTGCCCAATGAGGGCAGGGAGTGGAGAAGAGTGGGCTGGGCCAGGCTGGGGGTCTCAGCTAGTCCAATGGGGCTGCCAGAGCTGGGAGCCAGCACCTGCATCTGGCGCTGAGAGTTTGGGGTGATGGAGGTGGGGTCCTGGGACCTTCTGTTCCTACCCCCTGTCCCTTCCCCCTCCTGTGCTTCTGCTACTTCACTTCCCATGGAGCCCAGTGCAGAACTTCCCACGGGGTGGCCACATCAAGAAAGATAAACCCAGAGGAGCTGGTGGCAGGGTGGAGTGGGGCTGGGGTTGGGTTCGTGAAGGTTCAGGGGAGACGTTGCTGACTTGTGACCATCTTCTGGTCTCTGACGGGCTGCGCCAAAGCATTAGAGTTTGGGAACCCTCAGCATCCTGTTTCTGCTGAGGTAGGGGCAGCAAGCAGAGTGGTAGGGGGCAGAATGGACTTTTGTTTGGTTGAAAGAGGGGGCCCCTGAGGTAGAAGGTTGGCTCAGTGAAGGCAAGGGCTTCCTAAAGCCCCTGGGCAGTCAGCGGGAGAATGGGCTGCCTTGTAAGGTAGTGAGCTCCTCGTCCTGGGGGGAGTTCTGACAGAAGCTGGAGAAGGGCTTGGAAGGGTTCCTGTGCTGGGATGTGGTTAGAGGCGATGACCTGGAAGGTCTCTTGGGACGCTGAGGGCCTGGGATTCTTGCAGCTGGGGAATTCTCTAGCATCAGAATGGGGGATCAGGAAGCTGTGGCCTCTGGCCTGGGGGTGGGCACAGAGAGGACTCACAGGGTCCCCTTCCTCCCTCCCACGTTTGGAGAACAGAGAGCTTGACGCTCAGGCCTGGCACTGTGGGCCACCCACCAGGTCTGCCCCAGCTGCCTCCTGCAGAGGTTCTGAGTTCTTCCTATTCCTCTGGGCCCACTCCGTGCCCGGCTCTGCCGGTTAACTCCTGAAGGCCTGGAGCACACGCGTGGGCTGTGTGGCACAGCAGAAGGGACATCCAGCACCACAGTCCCTGCCCCCGCTTGCAGCTGGAGCCCCTGCCCCGCCATGGGCTCCAGGGCCTGTGCATGTCTGGAGGGTTGGGCACCTTGAGCCTCTGCCGAGTTTGGCCTCCGCTACAGGGGCCCCCTAGCCAGCCAGCCTGGAGATGGTCGGCAGAGGACAGTGCCAGGATCCGAGGTGCAGAAAACCCTGGGGCGGGTCTCACCTGACCCTCAGTTTCCACATTTGTAAATAATGCAGGGTTGTCAGGGAGGCTTGAAGTGGTTTGTGTAACTAGTTCGGTGGGGGCGGGTACAGACCAAGGCAGTTGATCTCAAGGGCCTCTCAGGAGCTGGGAGCGGGTCACCTCTCCAAACCTGTTTTCCCTGTGGTGGGCAGTGAGAGGAGCGGAGGGTGGGGGCGGGGCCAGCGAGTTCCCAAACCCACATGCAGGCAGGTTTGGGCTTCCTGTGATGGAATGTTCTAGTGGGCTTCTGGGGTGGGCTTGCGACCCGCCCTGGCTCCATCCTTCCTACCTCCCTGCAGTCTCTCCTCTGCGGACACCCTGAGCAGAGATGGTAGAGTGGGGGGCGGAGGTCACCCCACTCAAACCCCCCCCCCAACTCCAGCCAGGGCAGCCTCTTTTGCAGTTCTGGCTTTGTCTGAGCTGGAGTCCTCTCTAATCCTTACTTCAGCCCCTCTCTCCAGTCCGGGACTAGATGAGGTGCTTAATTAGGGCACTCTGCCCTGGGGTTTGAAAGAGACTTGTGATGGAGGGTGCTATGAGCCTGGAGCAGCCAGGGTGGGAACTGGGTGGCTGGCTAAGCTCTTGGCTGCAAGTGGTTCTGGCTCGGGGCTTATTTCTGGGGCCATGAGTCTCTTTGGCCTCAGAAAGGAAACTGAGGCCCAGTGAGGGATAGGTTTGGGGGTGCAGGCTGTGTAGGAGATAGGCAGTAAAGCCATTCCAGGTACTGGACTCTGAAAACAGCTCATCAGAAGTGGGTGTGGCAGTGGGGGAGGGAGAGGGTGGTTTTTGGAGAATGGAGAGGACCGTCCCAGACTTTGTCCCCAGCACTGTTCCCTGATGGTGTCTGGCTTGGTGACTCCCTCGCTGGCTGGCTCTTAGCTGTCCAGGGCTATTAGGCATGCAGAGGTGTGGGCACAATTGAGCTGGAACAAGGGGTGGGGTGGCAGGGGGGCCTCCCTGAGTGCCCCCTCCATTATGCAAGGTCATGCCCGGCCCTCTTCCCTTTCCTTCTTTCCAGCCCCCCGAAGCACTTTCCCATCCCCGAGGAGGAGGCCGCAGGAGCCTCGAGACCCCCAGCGCAGCTGGGTCCCAGGCCTGCCTCTACCCAGGCTGCTGGCCTTGGCCGTCTTGCTACTTGCCCCCAGCTCACTGTCCTTCGAGGAGGGAGGCTAGTCTCTGTGGAGTGGGAGCCAGTATGGGAGGGGGGTAGGTGGGCCCAGGCCAGTCCCTGGCGCTGCCTCCTTCAGGGCTAGTCTGGGCTCTGTAATCCCTGCCTTTTTAGGGCTGAGCCTGCAACTCAGGCCTGGGTGTGGGAGGCAGGAGGGACTGGCCCAGAAGGGCGGGTTCCGGGGAGCTGGGTGGGGATGAGTGATCAGAGGAGTGCCTGGGTGGAATCCAGGCCCTTCTGCCACTATGGGGCTCCCAGTCCTGGGTCCAGTTCCCCCAGAGATCCTCCTCGGCTCTCTCCGGCAGAGATTGTGGCACCCCTTAGCTCTCTCTGATCCTTGCAAGTTTCCCATGGGCTCACCTATCTCCTAGCTGGATTACAAGCTTCTTGAGGACAGGCCTGCACCTTTTGCCTCCCTGGCGATCCTTGCTGTGCCTGGCAGAGTGCTGCTCAACACAGGTGACTGACTCCTGGGGGGCCCAAGGGCGAGGGATTTTGACAGGGCCTGGTGAGCATTTGTTAGACTCAGATACGAGGCCATGCTCACCGAGAGGTCCATGGCAAGGCAGAGAATGAGAGTCTGGAGCCAGACTGCTGCGACTCAGCTCATGATAACTCCTTTTATCAGCTGTGTGGTCTTGGCAAGTGACTGGATCTCTGTGAGCCTCAGTTTCCCCACTGTAAAATGAGATACTAGTATCTTCTTTGTGGCGTGGTTGTGAGGATCAAATGAGTTCATTTGTTTAAAGCACTCTGAGCACGTGCTCAATTAAGGTTAGTAATTATCATTATTATTGGTGGTGTTGGTGGCCTTCTTCCATGACCCCAACTGTTGGTTGACTCTCTTGTCATGGTTGTCCCATCCCCAAGATGGGGAGAATTATGGGACCAGAGAGTGGAGGAGATCTTGGCATCATGTTCCCTTAAGGGTTCTAGCCTCAGATCCCAGAGAAGAGTCTTTCTTTCCCCCGTTGTCTTTTTTTCTCTGTGATTAGGGGGCAGGCAAGGAGCTAGAGGCCTTGTCTGCCCAGGGAGCTGATGCAGAGCTGTGTTTATGGAGGGCTCTGAGAAAGTTGCCATCACCATAAACAAGATGTGTTACTATAAACCAGCCCAAGCTCCCTTTCTTGGATCCCATCCCATCGTGGATGAGAGTCACATCATTGGAGACTCCCAGGCTTGGCAAGGACCTGGCCTGGCCTCCAGGCAGGCTACCCTGGACCTTGGCTATATCCATAGAGGAAGCACCTACATTTTAAAGTAGGATCCCCAAATAACTGCTCCAAATTATTGTCTTATACCCTCTAGGTCTCCCTGAAATCTAACTTGCATTCTTCTTACTGTAACTTTAGTTCAGTCCCTTGTTGGTAGGGGCTGGGGGAGAACTGCATCCAGCCCTTCCTGCATGCCATATAAGCTGAGAGCTTTGAACCCGTGGTAGGGTAGGGCTCCTGGCCACACTCCCTCTCCATCCTAGGCCTTTGCCCTCTCTGGGGTCCTCCGTTTTCCAGTGCCCCTGACATTCCTCATTAGTAGGGGTCAGCCCACAAGGCCTGCCAAGCTGCACTCTCCACCCAGCCGGTTCCCACCCAGGGAGGCTGGGGCTGCTCTGGGTTGGGGGTGAGCTCCATTTCTGGATCCCTGGCCCGCCCAGTTGCAGCTGCAAAAGGCATTAAGCTTTTTTTTTTTTGGAGAAAGAATGGGCTTGGGTTGATGAAGATGACAGCTGGGGAGGTTCCTGAGCTCAGCCTGGCCCTATCTCGCTTCCCCTCCTTGGCCCTTGCTCACCTCTGCCCCATTTCTAGGCCATTGCTCTTCTAGAGGTGGGCCTCACCTTTGGCCCTTGACCTTGACCAGACCTGGGTAGTCATCTGGTCTACAACCACTTTATGGGAGCAGCCCGGGGGTTCAGTACTGGGCTCGGTGCTGGCATGGGAGTGGGAGCAGGGCCGAGGGCTTCAAGGGAGAGTAAGAGAGGGTCTCCGCCCTGGGGGTCCCTATTTTTGGCCAGTAGGAGAGTAGTGCCCCTCAAATGGACAGATTTGAGTCTGTCCCTGGCTCTGTCCCTTGACTCTGGATGAGTCCCTCCTGAGTCCCTTCCTTCACTGGGCCTTAGCGTCCTCACCTGTGAAGGGAAGGGCTGGAGGGGTGGAGGGTCTGTGAGTCCACCTCCCTCAGTCCTGCCCTGGTCCCAGGCTGCAGAACTTCACCTTGGATTGACCTTGCTTCCATCCCCGCCCCGCCCCCACCTCTGGCAGTTGCTGGCAGGAAGTCCTGCTGATTAGGGCCCTAATCACTGGCTGAGACTCCTAGGAACAGCAGAGCTGGTCGAGTGAGAGGGACCGCCACGCCAGGAAGGGGGGCTGGCATGGGAGAAGCCTCCACTCAGGGATGTGAGCTGGGGTGTCAGGCTGTGGCGGGGGACCCTTGATGCCTGCCTGTGACTGGGGTCCAGAGGTGGGCTGGCCCCAGGCCTCGGCTTCCTGGGGCGGCACCCATACGCCCACTGTGGAGGCTGTGAGGCAGTGGCCGCGTCCAGCTGGGCCCTGGGGCCTCCTGACTGCTCACTCTGGAAGCTTTTCAGGGCACCCACCCTGTGCCAGCCAGGCAAGGTGCCAGGTATGGAGCTGGAAAGGCCAGGGAGACACAGTCTAGTGAGAGACAAAGGGGAGTAGCCCGAGTGTTTCTGCAAAATGCAGCCGGAATGTCAAGCAGGAAGCTGGAGGAGTGGAGAAGGCTTCAGAGAAGAGGTGCCATTGAGATGTGTTTTAAAGGTTGAGAAGGAGTTTTGCAGGGGGGAAGGGGTGGCGGAGGAACAAAGAGTTCTTCAGGACAGAAGAAGGCACACGCAGAGGCGCAGTGGTGTGCAGGTAAGCGTGGATAAAGTAATGGCTCCAGCCCTGCATTAGGGGCCGACAAGCTTGGGTCTCCCTCCCAGCTCCGCTGCCTGCCACCAGTGGGACATTGGTCTGAGCCTTAGTGTCTGCATCTATAAAATGGGGTTACTATTCCAATCCCGCGGTGCTATGGTAGAGATGAGACCCAACACTATTTGTGAAGTGCTGAGCACAGTGCCTGGCACAGAGCAAGCCCAGAGAATATATATAGTGGCTTGAAAATGGCATGTGTGGAAAAGGGGGCTTCAGGGACAGCCTGGGGGTGTTGCTTGGGGCCTGGGCCTGGGGGATTTTCTGGGCTAGGGTAAAGAGGGGAGCAGCGGGGTTTTAACATAGAAGAAACATGATTTAGGAAAGACATTAGGGAAGCTGTGAAGGCTGTACAGGCCACAACCTAGGACCTGGGTCCCTGGAGTCCTGTGTTCAAATTCCTCAGCCCTGGGCCTGAGAAATCCTCTCTCAAGTCACTTCATCTCTCTTATCTGTCTGGGCTTCCTGCCCACGTGCTGTCTTCCTTTCCTGGATCAGGTGGCCAAGGAGGCCCTGAACTCTCCTTCCCGGGATATCTTTCACTCCAGGAGAGAGCCCTCCTTGGCAAGGCATCACACAGGAGACTGGGGCTGCAGCATGCAGGACCAAGGGTAGACTGCAGGCAGCTCATATTTCTAAGACCCCAATAGGCTCCTTTTGGGGGCCTCCTATATCATTTGGCCTGGCACACAGGAGGCCCTCACTGTTTGTTGAATGAATAAATGAACAGGGGTGTCCCATAGTCAGTGGGGAGGAGCCATCTGCTGACTGCAAGTGGCCTGGTGAGTGTGGAGACAGGGTAGGAATGTTGAGTATCTCTAAGGCCAGGCGCCTGGCATGTCGCAGGTGCTCAGGGACAGTGTGTTGATGAAGCAGTGGGGATTTCAGGAGCTCAGAGCAAGGGCCTACCATGAGGCAGTGCGGCCGGGGGGTCCCGTTCACAGACTCCGCAGCTGCACCAGCTAGGTTGGAATCCTGGCCCCGCTGTACAGGCCATGGAAGACTTGCCAAACCGCCCGGGCGCCCATTCCCTCATCTGCAAACGTGGACACAGATTGGGGTCTGCAGTGCAGGCTGAGCCGTGCAACCCTAGGTATCGCTGTTGCTGTCATTACTATGATGCGGGAGGGGAGAGAGTGGGGCTGGGGACAGGGACTTCTTGGCTGGAATGAGTGCAGCTGCCCAGAGGTGGCAGGGAGAGCTCAAGAGATAGCTGTGGCTCCTCTGGAGGCTTAGCAGGAATCTGTCAGTGGCTCACGAGCTGCCTCCGCCACCACGCATGTGGCTGCCGCTGCTGTGGCTGGCTGAGCAGGGCTGAACCGAGCGTGGGAGCGGAGGCAGTGGCCAGGCCTGGATTCCAGGCTGGAGCCCTGGGAGAGCTGGGGCGAGCCAGGGTGAGGGGTGGGGGCCGGGAGAGGAGAGGTGAGTGGAGAGGAGGCCAGGACTCTCCCAAGTCCCCAGCTGGGACCCCAGGAATTCCTCCCTTTGTTTCCTGCCAGAGCGCCTGGCCTTTCAGCTCCAGGGCCTCCGGAGGTCCCGGGATCCATCTCCCTGCCTCCTGGGCAGACTGTTCTGGGTCTGTGGCCAGGAGCCTGATGCCTCTTCCCTGTTAGAAAGCGATTCCTGCCCAGGAGCCACTGCCTGGCTACAACTCCTTCCTCCCTCCTCATCTTGCCTTCAGGTCTCCCATTTCTAGTGTTCCGGACAAGCAGCTGCTTTGCAGGAGGAGGGAGTGACAGTCAACTTCAGGGGCCTGCCCTGACATGGGGCAGAGGGAGGGGACTGTGTAGTGCAGTGGAAGGACCCATGGCAAGGGAGGTGGGTGGCCTGCTAGTCCGCCTCTGTGTGACTTCAGACAAATGACTTCCCCTTTCTGGGCTTCAGTTTCCTCCTTTATGAAATGAGACGTTGGCGTTAGGAGGGTTCTCTCTTTCCAGCAGTGCTGAAGCTTTGCAAGTCTATGGATCTTTCTGAGCTGAGAGGCTCCCACTCTTGGGGCCTTTAGAAGAGCGGTCCAGCATGGAGGTGGGGGACCTGTAGGCTCTCCAGGCATCTGCTGGGATTCCAGCTGAGATTCTGGGAAGGTCCCTCTAGCCCTGGACTGGAACATTCTTTGCCCAGTGACCACTCTTCCAGGCAGCTTGGTTTCTTGGAACAGAGCAGAGGGCAACAGCTGTTAGGACTGAGCTGGCCAGAATCGCCCCACGTCTGTCCTAGTGACTCAGGTAGGGACGTGCTGGCAGTATTTGAGTTAGTGAAGCGAAGGAGGGGACCAGGCAGATCGGCTGGCTCTCCTCGGCCACCCTAGGGAACAAAGTGGGAGGAAGTGATGTGCTGGGGGCCGGGTGCAGAGGCAAAATGAGTAACAGTTGTGAGTAATGGCTCAGTGTCTACGCTGGGTAGGTGGCTCCGAGACGGTGCACAGCTGTTTGGGCTCCAGAAATGCTCCCTGGAGGCCCAGCCACTGAGTCACAGCAGCCTGAGCTCCCCTGTCCCTGTGCTGCCTAGAGGCTGGGGGTCCAGGCCAGCAGGGCCCCCCCGGCCTTTCTGCTGCCTCTGCAGCTGTCCTCCCACCATCTCTGCCCTCACAGTCTCGGGCCCATCGCCGCTCTGCCTTGTCCTCTAGCACCCCGGTGACTTGGCACGCCTGAAGGAGTGGAGAATTTGCAGTCTGGCTGTCCTGGGTTCGAGTCCCAGCTCAAGCACTCAGAGCTGTGTGAGCTGTTTGGCCAACTGCTTCTCCTCTCTAAGTTTCAGGAGCCTCATATGGAAAAAAAGGATGTTTTTGCTTCTTGTACCTGGTGTTGAAAGGATTAAATGGGATTATGTGTCCCAAGTACACGTATGTTGTATGTGTTCATGTAATATGGTTGTCCCACAAGCCCTAAAGTCTATTCTGCCCCTTCTCACCCACCTCCACATCCGAAATTCCTGCTCCCCGTGCTTCTATGCCATAACATTCAGGGGGATCATTCTCCTCTCAGCGGCACACTGTCATTGTGCACCTGCCCCTGCGTTTCTGATGCCTCCTATCCAGCTCCTGCCAATGTGCCTTATCCTTCCTGCTGTCCCAGGAGGCTGGGGCGCTCAGGCGGGGCAGGCAATCCTAGGGGAATTCGCCCTTGCCCAGGCTGCAGTGGGTGCTTTGAAAGAAGCCCAGAGATCTGGGGGTGCTTCAGGAGCCTGGGGCTGCTCCTGCACCCCCACCTCTGCTGACCCCTGCTCCCTCCCCCAGTCCTTCCCCCATCTGGCTTCCCCCAGTCAGCTGTGCTCAGGGCCACACAGACCGCCCTGCCTGTGGGCGAGCTGCTGTGCTGGTGTGTTTCTGTCTGAGCTGCTTGGCTCCTCGGGGTAGGGCCAGAGCACCAGAGAGTGACTTTGCATCTGGGTCTGGCAGTGGTCTGGCCAGTGCGTGGTGTGTGCCTTGGGGTGTTCTGAGCTGTGACAACTGGGCTGCAGCGTCTGGGTCCCTGGGTCTCTCTCTGATGCGAGCTTTTTCATCTGTCCATTTGAAATCCGCCCGTGTTTTCTGAGGGTTTCCGCCGCCCCTCCCTTCGCCCTCCCCCACCCCCCCTTCACCCTCCCCCACCCCCAGACCTGGTTTCGGATGCGTGCATCTCTGAGGTCTGCCAGGGAACAAGGAAACATCGCAGGGGGGTGGATATGCGTCAGATGGAGCTGAACAATGCCGGTGACAGCCAGGCCTCCTCTGGCCCGGAGTGCTGGCCCGGAGTCAAGTCTCTGCTGCCAGCTAATTGGGAGTGTGAGGGGGCTTCCTGCAACGTGGCCACAGATGGATTTCAAGGAGCAACAGGGAGCTGAGCTGCCCTGCCCTCCGGCCTCCTGCTTCCGGAGGCTCCTGCTGCAGCCTTGTCCGTGCAGCAGATGGGGTTCCAGGATACCAGCCCCCCGACGTGCGCTAATTGCGCAGGGCAGTTACACCAACTCCTCCTGTCGCTGCCTCTATGGCCAGCCGTGGCCAGGAGTTTTTCAGATCACTGAAACCTATGCTGTGGGAGGGTTGACAGCTCAGAAAAAAGGAGGATGTTTTTTGATGGGATTCACTTGCCTTGTACAGTGTCCCAAGCTTGCTTTGACTTACAGTAGATGGAATCTTAAAAATCGCTTCCTTCCTCTCCTTCTGCTGTTTCTTCTTCTGTAAAATGGGGCTAGGAACTGAACCCCCTTCACAGGGTTGAGGTGAGGACTAACTGGGCTGAGATGCATAAAACGCTTGGAACGGAGCCATAGTAAACACTGTGCAAGTTACTGTACGCGGAGGCGCAGAGAGGCGCCGTGATTGTCTCTGGGCTGGAATAGAAGGGAACGGACGTTTACCAAGCATGTCCTGTGTTCCGGACATGTTTACTGCTGCTGTGTCATCAGCTTTGTGTAGTACTCCCAGCCACTTGCAGGGTAGGGCTCCTTACCCCCACTTTACAGATGAGGAAGCTGAGACTCAGGGAGGTTGAATAAGGTCTTGACAGCTGGTCTGTGGCAAAACTGGCGTTTGAGCCCACACCTGACTCAGTCCAGTGCATTTTCTCTCCCTCCTCTTGCCCTTTAGTGGGAAATTCATGGCCTCTTGGTGTGTTCAGGAATTTGGAAATGAGGAGCCGCAAACAGAAGGTGATAGATCTTACAGCGCTGGATCTGCGCCCAGCTACCAGGCTTTGGCTCGGTGCAAAGCTGTCTGGAGTCAGTGATGAGACAGAATGACCTTTGGCAGGGGGTCCAGGGAACATAAATGCCATAAATAGGCTTTGAGGATATGGAATTTCCTTCTGAGCAATTTGTAGTTGGGTTTACTGTCCATCTTGTTTCTTCTTTGGGCAAGCCTTAAATTCCTAAAAAGAGAGGTGGGTAGACATCAGGAAGGATTTCCTGACTGTGAGCCCCATAGGGCAATGATACAGACAGCTTAGGGAGCCTGAAGAGTCAAC